GGCACCGTTTCAAAAGTACCGGTTTGGTACTGGTATCGGATAAAACCTAAACGATACCCTTCCCTAGTCGCCACATGAAGCCCAGACAGGATGCTCGTGTCCTGTGACAATTCCAATAATCACTCTGCATGTTGCTGTCTTCATTGTGCACAGAAAAGGCAGAATGTTGGCGCAAGATTGGACCGGCTCTGCCATCTTACTCCACCTAGCTTAACCCAAACCAGCAATCACAGCACTCCAGTGATTGCTGGACTTTTCTTGTTGGCAATATGTTGAATAAGAATAACTTAACTATTATGTCATGGCTCAAGTTTCTTATTTAAATAAAAATTTATAAAAAATTGTGCCAATTTTTCTTCTTTTCAAAGACACTGACCAGTTCAGCCCACACATCACAACTCTGCTATTTCCGTTCATGAAAACACACACACACACAGTTTTCCATTAAAAGCCATTTTTCTGCTTTGCCTGTCTCTATTTCACACTAATATCCCACTGCACTGAATATTATGGTAAGTCCTATTAAGGGAGACAGCTGACAGCACTGGTGATGAACAATAATAAGAACATTCTGTATCTCCTGTTAGCTGCAAGTCTTTCTTGTTCCATTTTCCTCTGTGGTTTGCTGTTATCTAAAGAGCAAGCACTAGCGTCACCAGAGCAGTCACACTCACATTTTACAAGATCCCTACTCTGCAACTTATTACCAAACAGGGACGAGGAAAATACCTGCATCCTGCAAGACAGGATAATTTATACCAAGTTGGATGAAGGACAGAGTCTGCAGGGTGATTGTGCTCCACACTGTCCTCCGGGCTTGCTGTAAAGGCCCAAATGACACTGACAGCTCGGTAAACAAACAAATAAATAAGTAAACATCATTAAAAATGCACCATACATGCATGTGCATAAATAAGTGAGGACACAGTTTGGGGAAACACAGACTGAATTATTTCTTATTAAAAAAATATAAAACCTCAGATGAATTATTCATGCAGACACCCTCACACGTGTCACTACCCATTAGAATACACTCTTACTGGGAGTGTTGTCATACTGGTCAATCTAACAGTAAACTGGACACAGCTCTCATCATTACTCACACAGCAGGCAGAGTTATGCCTTATGTCCTATTATTATAGAGCTTCCTGAGATCCTCAATTGATGTTTTTGTAAAGAACCTGCTCGGGGAAAAGCTCTGTTGGCACTGTTATGGGTTTTAAATCAATGCAAATGCAGAAAGTCCAATTTCTCTACTTTATTTAGTTGGAGTAGCCTGGGGACATTTTTCCCCAAAACTAAAAGCTCTGAATGCAGGTATTAACGCAAATCATGACCTCATTTACTTTGATAATATATACAGTAAGTGAACACTTTGTATTGTGAGGTAGAAGCTGTGACGTCCCCCGTTCGTTTAAAGCAAACAGAAGCTTTCTGAAACTCGGGCACCGGCAGATGATCCTGAGAGTGAAACGCAGACGGGAACGTCGTGTTTATCCTTCCGAGTAAAATAAACAGAATAAAACTCAGAGTGAAAAATCAACTTCTTTGAATTGAGGCGCAACAAGGTTTATGTGGTTGGAATTTTAAAAGCTTCATTTCAAAGACAGACACAGCCACAGTCACAGCACATTACAGTTTCTGTACTACAGCGTGCCAGTCATGGTCATTTTTTTGAAGATGGGTGGAACTGGTTACCTAATCCTACAAATACAAGACTGAACAAACAGCGTAGCGCAAGGCATGTGTGGGGAAAACCCTAAAACCTTCCCCACTTTATCAACTACTTTAGTCTAAACAGGACCATCATCATTTACTAAATTCAATAATATACTGTAGGGAAGTCAGAAGTGATGTGAAGTTTATGTAGAAGCTAGAGCTGGGCGATAGAACGATAACGATATGTATCGCGATATAACTTTTACTCGATAGAGAAATTAAGCTATCGCGATAGACC